GCCAATTTATGAAAAGTTTGACAGAGCCTTTAATCCCAATAGATATGCTGGATTATGATAACTCACATTAGAAGGGATGTACTTGTCTTCATCATCAATACCCAGATGAATAGAGATGAGCTTCTGAAAGGCCTTCTTCATCCTCTCTCTGTCTCCGACAGCGTAGTAGCACAGGATCAGGTTGAAGCCCGTCTTTATGTTGGGACTCTCACTCATGATGTGCTCGAAGGACGTGATGGCGTCTGAATACTGGCCCAGGCGGACAAAGACCACGCCGATGTTCTGCATGATCTTGATCCTCGTGTCCTTGTGATCGTTGGAGATCTGATCCAGAGCCATGCGGTAGAACTTGATTGCTTTGGGGTAGTTTTTCTGTTTGAAGTAGATGTTGCCCATGTTGACTTTCAGGCGGCCTGGAGGCGCAGCACAAGCAGTTTGAGGAAGAAGTTTTACAGAGAATAAACACATCTCTGTTTTATTTTTTTAACTACGGCTGTGAAATTAATCGAGTTAACTCATATTGATTAATTTTAATCCTGGGCATAGATGAAAAATTTTAATCACGATTAATCTAACTTTTTTTTTTTTACAAACAATCACTTTACTATGGCTGAATGTGTAAGTTTGTATATTGCAATGCACTCCATGTCAGTGCATGCTAGGTCATGTTTGTAAATGAGAAGTGGTTCTCAAACAGTTTACCTGGATAAACAATGGTTAAATAGATAACATAAATTAAAAAACTCCTTTTGTCTTATTTTATTTTATTTACTTTTGTTTTGCTGACAACCGTGACCTTAGTATCTATCTTTCATTCCTCATGTAGTACTCAGTGGGGGGCACCAGACCGCTAAAGTGCAAATCCGCTAATTGCGGACCTAAAAATTTTGTTTGCGCTTTAGCGGTCTTTCTAATTTTTATAATTCATAAGCAGCCTTGCGCTTTCTAATATTAAAATGCATTTCCACTAATAACCAATTATCTACCAGTCTTCATTATCTCGAACAGCAGAAGGTATGACTGTCAATGAATCACAACACACGTGATCTAACCAACAGCACCCCTCCCAGATAAACACACTTATTGTGAAGGTATACATCCTGCTGACTGTTGCTTTCGGTCACGGTTCTCATTTCCCACAATGCTTTGTGTCTGCTTATGTAGCAGGAAGGCAATGTTTAGAACTCCCTGTCCCAGTTAAAAAAAGTTAACGTTTGTAATCCATACTAAAATTTTGTTTGTATTGATTTATTTTACTTTACAATCGGAGTTCCTTCTTTTCAGAGTTGTAAAGTATCTAAGTACAAATACTTTGTTACTGTACTTAAGTAGAAATTTTGGTTATCTGTACTT